GCGTGGCACGCCGGGTCCTGGAAGGCGGGCTAGGAGCATGGCCTTCCCCAGCTTGGGATGCTGGCAGCCAAGAGAGGTCTAGGCAGAGGCATGACCTGGCCTAGCCTGGGCTCAGAGGAGAGGGGTGGCAGACTGCAACTGGGGTCCAGGTTGGCTCCCATCGGGCCTCCTCTCTGCACCTCTCTCCCCAGCCCCAGGCTGCACAGAAGGTGATTCTCGCAGGGAGCACGGCCAAGAATGGACTGCACCGGGGGACCCCTGCCGGCTCTGCCAGTGCCTGGTGAGCCCCAACTTGCTCCTGGGCTCCCCTCCCCCTGCTCCCCCAGGCCCACCACCTTCAGGCCTTCATTCCACTGAGTGCATCCAAAAGGCACCATGGGGGGTCAGGAGTGGAGAGGGCCTGGTCTGGGGTGGGGTCGTGCCCGTCTGCATGCCCAGCTCTGAGCAGCGCATGGGTGCAGCATGGGTTGGTGAACTGGTCAAGGAGCTTGCAGCTAGAGTGAGGTGGGGCAGGATGTGGCCGGTGGGACAGGCCAGGGAGGGCGAGACGCAGACGGGTTTGAGGTGCCTGGAACTTTGAGGTCTGATCAGTTGCCACAACGGCATGTGGCCACTGAGCCCTTGAGATGTGGCCATTAAATCTGAGACGGGTTTTCAGAGTAAAATACACACCCGTTTAAAGACGGAGTGCGAGAGAAAGGAGTGTGCGCTATCTCATTTACGCGGTGCCGATCACATGCTGAAATAACAGGATATATTGGGTTGAGTGGAACATTAACATCTAGTTTCACCTGTTTCTGTTTTTTGGAATGTGACTACTAGAGAGTTTACAGTGACCTACGTGGCTTGTGTTGTATTTCTGTGGGGCAGCACAGCTCTAGAAAGTCTTCATGGAGGGGTGGTGTTTACCTGGGTCTTAGAGGGTGAGTAGGATTTAAGCGGGGTGGTGGGCGGGGAAATGGGGACAGACGCTCCAGGGCTTATGGACTGAATGTTTGAGA